TAACTTTATTTAGACTGGATAGCTCTATCAGTTCTAAACTGTTCTTCCTAGAGGTCCAGTAAGGATCATCTCTTATTGATCCAGTGTTACTACAGGAGGAAATCTAAACTAAACTAACTTTATTTAGACTGGATAGCTCTATCAGTTCTAAACTGTTCTTCCTAGAGGTCCAGTAAGGATCATCTCTTATTGATCCAGTGTTACTACAGGAGGAAATCTAAACTAAACTAACTTTATTTATACTGGATAGCTCTATCAGTTCTAATTGTTCTTCCTAGAGATCCAGTGAGAGTCAACATTTATTTGTTCAGTGTGGTATGATATGTAACATACCATTAATGACACAAAAAGATGAGAACCAAAAACAACAACCAGGTAGCCATATTTCTTCTCGCTGCAACTTTCAAACCAAATAATCCCCCAAAACGTATTCAACAGTACAAACGCACATGTCAGAAGAGCTAAAAATCAATGAAATCCATTTAGTGTCACAAGTGTGGAGTCAATTTGATCAGAACTTTCAATATGTCCCCTAACCTGATATAATTAAGAACTGTGGAGATTCTCCATTCAGACCTGGAGCCCCAGGTCCTGTGATGTCCGCAAGGATGTTCACCATTGCAAATAAACCACTCATTATACCATAACCTAGTCCCGACACTGAAATATAATGGTTGAACATTTCATACCAATCAATCATTGAATAGAGAAAAATAATAAAATAATCAAACTTCAATTACTTAATCCGAAAGACAAAACATGTATTTTTATGGTCACATAGTTTGTTTTTAATTAGGATTTAAATCATTTTTCAAATGTTCAATGACTAGTATTTTTAATTTAGTCGTTTCATCAAGTGAAGAAAGCCAAACATATCAAACAATTTGTATAATCAAACTTCAATTAATTAATCAATAAAATTAAAAACAAATTAATCAATTAATTAAATAATCAACTAATTAATCAATTAACTAATTAACTAATTTAATTAACTAACCAATTAACTAACTAACCAATTAACTTATTTAATTAATTAACCAATTATTTTATGAACTAATTAACAATTATTTAATCAACTAATTAACTTTTAATTAATTAATTAATTATTAATTAATTAACAATTAATCAATCAACTAATTAGGTAATTAACAATAATTAAACTAATTATTCAATCCAGCAATCAATTCACCAGACAAAAAAATTATCACACAGTCACCCAACATACCAAAAGCAGTCTTGTGTTTAAACAGTCCAGATGATTTGCTTGCTAAGGAAACTAATTCACTGTCTTCTGCTTTTCTAGAAATTAAATTAGTAGTCGAATGAATTAGAAATTAGCCCATCAATGCTCGACAATTGAACAAATCTTAACAAAACTTACTTAATTAAAACAAAGAAAGCATAACGAAATAATTCTTGGAACAGTACTGAAAATGCGACACCAAATGCCAACTGAGTTTTCAAAGGAGAAACAATTGTCCACCATATTGAAGAGATCAGTAGCGATAACAGCCAAAAGAATGCACTGAAACAATAAGAAATCAATATAGTATATGTAGTGTGCATTTCCCCATCACCTCTGTAACTGCAGGGTTTGATTTTGGTAAAACATCTGATTATAGTTTCATCTCACACTCCCAGAAGAGTGCTTCTCTAAGTACTTTTATGACCTAGGTTTCCTCCTGTAGTAACACTGGATCAATAAAAGATGATTTTTATTGGACCTCTAGGGAGAACAGTTTAAAACTGATAGAGCTACCCAGTATAAATAAAGTTAGTTTAGTTTAGGTTTCCTCCTGTAATAACACTGTTATCAATAAGAGATGATCCTTACTGGACCTCTAGGAACTAGAACAGTTTAGATCTGATAAAGCTATCCAGTATATAAATAAAGTTAGTTTAGTTTAGGTTTCCTCCTATAGTAACACTGGATCAATAAGAGATGATCCTTGCTGGACTTCTACGAAGAACAGTTTAGAACTGATAGAGCTATCCAGTATAAAGTTAGTTTAGTTTAAGTTTCCTCCTATAGTAACACTGGATCAATAGAAGATGAAAAAACAGTTTAGAACTGATAAAGCTATTCAGTATAAATAAAGTTAGTTTAGTTTAGGTTTTCCTCCTGTAGTAACACTGGATCAATAAGAAATGATCCTTACTGGACCTCTAGGAAGAAAAGTTTAGAACTGATAGAGCTATCCAGTATAAATAAAGTTAGTTTAGTTTAGGTTTCCTCCTATAGTAACACTGGATCAAAAGAAGATGATCCTTACTGGACCTCTAGGGAGAAATAAAGTTAGTTTAGTTTACGGCCCATTTACACGATACGACTAGTCATATACGATTCCTATCCTGGTGTATGTTCTTGAATAAATGTGTGAAGATGTCACATTTCAAATTTCGTCCTAAACTGATGAACAGGAATAATGGCATCAACAGTAGTTTCCATATGCCAGAATGACAATTGTATACGACTAGTCTCATCGTGCTAATGGGCCTTTAAGATCCTGTTTACACGGTACCAGATGAATTTAGAACCGGGCTGAAATTCAGCTGATTCGGCCGTGTAAACACATGAGATCCACAGAACCGGACGAATTTGAGACCTCCTAACAGGACGAATTCACGTGTAAACAGGTGAAAAAGGACAAATTTCAGACCGGTCCCAAATTTGTCCGGTACCATGTAAATGGGGTCTAAGTTTACTCCTGTAGTAGTAACACTGGATCAATAAAGATTGACCTTTTGAAAAAACAGTTTAGAACTGATTAATACTGTATTTTACTGATAGAGTCATCCATAGCATAAATAAACTAATTTAAGTTTAGTTTATTAAAGTATTGAGTGCCCTAAAGCTTACAAACACCTCTCTAGCAACTTTAAGGTATTAACATTTTAACACAAAACTCACGACCCCCACCTTGAAATCATGATAATAACATGAAAATGATCTCTTGCCACTGCGACCAAAAATATCACTGTCGCCGGGCCAAATGCGATAAAAATACAACCAAATAATGTCATTAAAGTCATCTTGGTGTCTTTAAGGAATAAGTAATAAATACCAATTGGTAAAAATCGCCCAAAATTAGGTTTAAACAACAAAAAAGCGAACTAAAAGTACTTGACTTTAAATTTGATAAAATTTAGATTTCTTATAAATTTACAACATGACGTCACAGCATACCGGATCATTATATTATACTTCATGTAGTACGTATCACTTTTGGTTTTCAATTTTTTACAGGGGGGTGGGAACTGGAAACTTGGGGAAAGAAACTTGGGGAAAGGAGGGAGGGGGGAGGGGAGGTTTATAGGGTTACTGGGAATACTGGCTCAGTCACAGGTGATTCTGTGAAATGTTTGATGAGTTCGTTCCCTCAAACATTTTTTACAAATCTTTCAAAACGTAGAATTTACCTATGTAAAATTCCTACTGTGATCACAAAAAGTTTTCTCTCGAATTTTTTATGCACGACTAATCCCATTTACCGCCTTTCAGCGTAGGAATTTTTCACAGGGAAACTCTTTATCCCTTGGCGGAATTTTACGTATTTAATACGCAGATAAAATGAGCCGTGCAATGTCTTGAATAAATTTTAATTTTTGTTAATATTTAACTTAGCTACAATAATAACTGGTAGCTTTGGCAGATATATTAAAGGGAAAATTTTTATCATTTATATTTATAATAAATAGTAAATTCAAATTAATTTAGTAAATTCTACAAAAGTATTTTACGAAATATAAGAAATATATAATAATAACGAAATATTATTCTCCCCCACCGGCCACCCCTACCAACCTGCAACCGCGTGGTAATATATGTAAACATCATTTTCCCAGGGTAATATTAGTTGATATTTAACCGGGGTAACAACTGTCAACTGAGGGAGGGTAAAGTCTATGGCAAAGTCTCCTATTTAGCAAGATGGGAAGTGTAAACATCAACCGAAATTTCTTACAGACTTTAAGACGAATTTCTAGCGTTTTGGTAAGAGTATTTCTCAAATTTTGCGTGAATTTTAAGGGAATTTATTTGTTTAAAATCTTTGCCACGTTTTCAATTGTTAGGGGCGACAATCGCGAAATGTTTCGTCTACTAGCATAGATAACCAGGCGAGTAAAATTTCTTTGACATTTACATTTGATTTTTGTATAAAGTGCATTGCTTTTAACGATTCCCGTTAGATTTTGAAGGAGAAAAAAATCATTTAGCTTTGTTTTTTTAGGAAATCGATCCAGAGAAACAAGTAAGTCAAATATGTTACTTTTCTATGCTACTATTTGGACGTTAATAAATACACTGGGGATTTAATATTATTACGGTATTGTTACTGTTGCGAAATCTGCATTTATACCAACAGATAATTTGTGTTTTTAGAAAAAATACTGTATATATATATATATATTCGCTCAAAGTACAAAGGGTTGAATTCGTGTTCAATAATTCATTTGTAGACAATTGTACGTCTACAATGCCACGTTGATATTTTGGAATTGAAATTTATAAATTAGACGTTTTACATGTAATACGATCGACTTTTATCTCTTTGCATCGCTTTATTAGAAACGTTTTTATTGTAATATAAATGCCTACAGATTCAATTTAAAGCCGCCTATCTCGTTACATATGGTAAACAAAGCTGGTATTAGCATGTAAACAATTTGTAATTTGTAAACCAGTTCAATTTTGTATCAAAAACATATCAAATACTACATACAGTATCCGAAAATGCATGTTATAGTTTGCTACCCAATAAATTATATATATATATATATATATATATATATATATATAGCAATGACTTTATTGAAAATTTAACCTGTATTTTCTTTTGGCAACGCATTGTAATTAAATTAGCGAAGACATTTTGTGTAGCGTTTGGTTTGTCATGAATATACCACCTGAACTGACAAAATATTATCAATGACAGTTGCTATGGTTTTGAATTTGACAGAGTGACTATAAAAGTTTAATTATACAATGACATGTGAATTGGATGTTTAGTGGAGCAAATTTTATTAAACTTTATACTGCATAGCTCTATCAGTTTTAAATTGTTCTCCCTCTTATATTATTGCCCAAAAGTTTCTCTTAACAAGTAAAATAATAATCGTTAAATAATTCAAGTTGTTTATTTTCAACTCTTAGATTGAGGAACAGCAGAAACGAAATGAGGAGGTGGGGCAGTTCACTGAACTTGTCCGAGACTTTTTGGACCCCAAAGATTTCTATGACAGTCTTCGTGTGCACGGCATTGACTTCTATTGTGGAGTTCCAGATTCATTGCTGAAAGACTTCTGTGCATATGTAACAGACGTCGCCAAGCCTGACGACCATGTGATTACAACTAATGAAGGAAGTGCTGTTGCACTGGCCTCGGGATACCATATGGCGACACATAAACCTGCCCTTGTCTATTTACAGGTACAAAACCCGTTTGGCTATAGATTAATGGCTCTTGTGGTCTTTCACTGCTCAGAATAACCATTTATTTAACAAGGAAACTTCGGATTGATAGGAGAACTTTGACGTTTTGAGCGAAGGTCCTTCGTTAGCCCGATACTAACTTCCCGACGAAGGGCTTTCGCTCAAAATGTCGAAGTTCTCCTTGTATTTTTCAGGCAATTGCATTCCTATCAATCCGAAGCTTTCTTATTATTTTGGCGCAACCTACACTGACACAGGTCCTTGAGGCCCACCAAGGGGTTATGACCGATAGGCAACATTCCTTAAAAAGGGATGACAGACTAACTAAAAAAAAAGCGACAAACGACAGCTTCTGGACTGGGAAAAAGCAACAAATTGCGATTTGTGTTATGAGTCAAAAGTGACAGCGACATTTATTACAATAAACCAAGCAACAAAGCAGCTACAAAACTGGTGACAAGCGACCTAGGTTACACCCTTGGTGGGCCTCATCCTTGTTAATGGTCTTTCACATCTTTTTTTAAAACCTTTTTGCTGGGATGTAGAATTCAGGTCTTGGCAACATTGTCAATCCATTGATGTCGTTGGCCGTCCCAGCTGTCTATAGCATACCCATGTTGCTTTTGGTTGGCTGGAGAGGCGAGCCAGGGAAACGAGACGAGCCCCAACATTTACACCAAGGACAGGCTACGCCAGGGTTGCTAGGTAAGGTTATGGTCGCCAAGGTGTGTCCATCACAATTCAGATGTCAGCTGCAAGGAAAGATTAGCACATCCTACATAATCTACCACCCAGTATATTTGCATCAGATTTTCAGATTGATACAACTACCTGCAAAATAATTATACAAACTTCAAGGGAAGGCCCTTCATTGTGAACTTCCTGTATTGGCCTTTTGTGAATGTTCAGGGTTTGAGCAGTTGAATAACTTTGCCTCAGTTTGTATTTGAGAGGAGTACTTCAGGTGTGCTGGTTTCCTCCTGTAGTAACACTGGATCAATTGAGATGGTTCTTACTTGACCTCTAGGGAGAACAGTTTAGAACTGATAGAGCTATCCAGTAAATTAATCATTAATTTGAGGTTTGTTTTTAGTGAACTCTTCACTTTGAGAGTGCAAGAGAGTAAGTTGTCAGTTAGCTTCAATGAATTGAAGTTAGGTTTCATTTTAGAATAAGTATAGATTAAATTTTGTGTTATTTTTTAGCCTCTTGTGGCATTCCATTTCAAGTTTTACCAGATTATCAAGAAGGTGCAGAACAGGTGAGATGGTGATGGTGGTAATGATGATGGTGATAATGATGATGGTAATGATGATGGTGATAATGATGATGGTGATAATGATGATGGTAATGATGATGATGGTGGTAGATGGTGGTGATGATGATGATGATGGTGGTGGTCATGGTGGTGATGATGATGATGATGGTGGTGGTAATGATTATGATGATCATGGTGGAATAGATTGATGATCATGATAGTGGTAATGATGATTATGTAGATGATGGTGGTTATGATGATGATGGTGGTGATTGTGCTGGTAATGTGGTAGACAATTCTCTCATTTCCTTTCCAGGCAATCTACACAGCCAAGAAATACATGCAGACATCCAAAGGACCATATTGCTTACTTGTAAAAAGACAGACCTTCCTACCATACAAAATACCACCTCCAGATTCAAGGTTAATAACTCTACTGGTTAATAACTCTACTGGTTAATAACTCCGCTGGTTAATGACTCTACTGGTTAATAACTGTATCGGTCAAAGGTTTCTGCTAGATCTAATTTTTTTACAATTTCCAAAATATATTATCTAGGTTCGTACTCACTCGCGAAGAAAGTTTGAAATGCATTGTGGACAACCTTCACGACAAAGACGTTGTCGTAGCAACCACAGGCATGTTGTCACGTGAGCTCTTTGAATACAGAGTGTCGAAATGTCAAGGTCACGAGAAAGATTTCTTGTGTGTTGGGAGCATGGGTCACGCCTCGGCCATCGCGCTCGGTATTGCCAAAAAGAAGAGAAATAGACAGGTGAATAGATGACGCCAATATGAAATTTTGTAAAATGTGATTGGCCGACACAAATTTGGAAGTTGAAAATTTTCAACTTTTAACAATGATATTTTCGCAAAATTTTCTGTCCGTCGAAATTTTTCTTGAGTGGAAATGAGCCTTAAGTTTCACCAGTCCGCAACGAGAGAATTGAACTCACGATCTTGGAGGTGAAATACAAACTGCTCTGACGACTGCCCCACCAAAACCCATCTGAAATTTTCACCTTTTACCTTCTAGGTATTCTGCCTTGATGGAGACGGTGCTCTTTTGATGCAGATGGGAAATATGGCGACGATAGGCCATCAGAATCTTCCCAATTACAAACACATCGTCATCAATAACGGTGCCCATGATTCCGTCGGTGCACAGCCAACCGATGCACAGGATTTGGAGAAATTCAACATCACTGAGCTTGCTAAGGCTTGTGGGTATAAAATGGTAAGGAGTGGTCAGGTTAGAGGGTCTGTGATTGGGTACCATTCCTCCAGTTATAGTTGTATTATATAGTTCAGCATCAGTTGCATGCGAGAGAGTGTTTTCATATTTTATTTTCAAAATCCCAGATTCTTCCCTTGGCCAGTAAGAAATGGACCTACTAGAGAGAACAGTTCAGATCTATCCTGACATATTAATAAAGTTAGTGTAGTTTAGGTTTCCTCTGTAGTAACGCTGGGTCAATAAGAGATGATCTTTACTGGACCTCTAGGGGGAACAGTTTGGAACTGATAGAGCTATCCATTATAAATAAAGTTAGTTTAGTTTAGTTTAGGTTTCCTCTTGTAGTAACACTGGGTCAATAAGAGATGATCGTTACTGGACCTCTAGGAAGAACAGTTTAGAACTGAAAGAGCTATCCAGTATAAATAAAGTTAGTTTAGTTCAGGTTTCCTCCTGTAGTAACACTGGATCAATAAGAGATGATCCTTACTGGACCTCTAGGAAGAACAGTTTAGAACTGATAGAGCTATCCAATATAAATAAAGTTAGTTTAGTTTAGGTTTCCTCCTGTAATAACACTGGATCAATAAAAGATGATCCTTACTGGACCTCTAGGAAGAACAGTTTAGAACTGATAGATCGTATAAATAAAGTCTATCCCGTATAAATAAAGTTAGTTTAGCTTGGGTTTCCTCCTGTACTTGGCCTGGATAACCCTTCTAGGTTGAACAATTTTTGAGAGCTATCCAGTAATGATTTCAACTTCAACACTAACGTATATTCTTATCTTTTCAGGCAATACAGGCAGCAACTCCCGAGGAAATAGCTGCGGGTGTAATGGCTATGCGGGAGAACGAAGGTCCATCCATGCTTGAGATTTTATGCAATGTTGGTTCAAGAAAAAACCTCGGCAGACCAACCCGAACCCCGACTGAAAACAAAGCTGACTTTATGCATTTCCTTGCGATAGAAAGATAGTCGTAGAGATAAACATTATAGTGACATGAAAAATTATATATGGTCATATGGAAATGTACGAGTGTGTTTTGTGTTTGTTTATTGCCGAGGGCTGTATGTGGTGACGCAATGGTGTGTCGTCATCATATATAATACACCCTTTCGATAATTACGTCACAACTACACTGTTTTCAACTTAGGACCGCCTTAAATGGAAAGGATTTCAAGTTTTTTCTCATGGGCTATGCACAGAGTACCAGAACATCCTTCATGAAATGATGCATGAAAAATAATTCTTTATTTTGACCAATAAACGTGGAAATAAGCTTAACACGAAAACGAGGCTTAGATTACAAACGGGAAATTGACAGCCCCAAATGACGGAAAATTGCAAACTTCGCAATTTTCAGTAATTTTGGGGGCTTTCAATTTCCCGTTTGTAATCTAAAATGACTGAAAATTGCAAACTTCGCATGGCTATATTTTCCGCATTTTACAACATTTCGCAACGAAGCTTTGGAATATTACTAATTTTGTGATGCTCTTTCAAGCTGTGATGAAATTTTTGTCTAGACTTGTTTATATCAAGATTTAGTCTATTACGCAAATGGTCAATTGACGGAATTGGAATTACTATTCCAAGTGGAGTTTTCTCGTGCTAATAATGAATAAGGGCAAGTGATGCTTCTTACTGGATAACTAGGGAAAGCAGTTTAGAATTGATAGAGCTATCCAATATACATTGGTGAAATATGAATGACTATAAAACATTAAAAAATCATTACAGTAAAAGTATTAAAGTACTATCTTAAACAGACCAGGTCTGTTGTTCGTAAATTACTAAAATAAGTTAAATAAAATATTCTACAACGACAATTTTCTACACCCTAAAATCACTTTGGTTAAAATTCCTAGGTTAACCTATTTGTGTTAACTTGATTTTCCTGGTTATTTTAAACCTATTGTCTGGTTAATTCTGGTTAAATTAAGCAGAATATCTTAGGTGGATAAATAACCAGGAAAATTGAAAAGGTTTCCCTAGTGGGATTGGAAGGAAAATAGAGGAATATGTACAAACTTATGCTTTGATTGCTGTCATCTCGTTCACCTGTCGCTCTTCAATTGCCAATATACGATCATTATCTGGTTTCCACGCATTCCCAATTTTCTAAGAAAAGAAGAACGCTTTCGTCAATGGTGTAATTCAGTATAAATAAAGTTTAGGTTCTGGATCAATAAGAGATGATTCTTACAGGACCTCTAGGGAGAACAGTTTAGAACTGATGGAGCTATCCAGTATAAATAAAGTTAGTTTAGTTTAGGTTTCCTCCTGTAGTAACACTCGATCAATAAGGGATGATCCTTACTGGATCTCTAGGGAGAACAGTTTAGAACTGATGGAGCTATCCAGTATAAATAAAGTTAGTTTAGTTTAGGTTTCCTCCTGTAGTAACACTGGATCAATAAGAGATGATCCTTACAGGATCTCTAGGGAGAACAGTTTAGAACTGATGGAGCTATCCAGTATAAATAAAGTTAGTTTAGTTTAGGTTTCCTCCTGTAGTAACACTGGATCAATAAGAGATGATCCTTACAGGACCTCTAGGGAGAACAGTTTAGAACTGATAGAGCTATCCAGTATAAATAAAGTTAGTTTAGTTTAGGTTTCCTCCTGTAGTAACACTGGATCAATAAGAGATGATCCTTACAGGACCTCTAGGGAGAACAGTTTAGAACTGATAGAGCTATCCAGTATAAATAAAGTTAGTTTAGTTTAGGTTTCCTCCTGTAGTAACACTGGATCAATAAGAGATGATCTTTACTGGACCTCTAGGGAACCATTTGCTGCGGTATGCTATATACTGTATACAACTCCATCGTGTTTTAAATAAATGTTATGAATGAATGAATGAAGCTATACATCATGAATAAAGTTAGTTTAGTTTAGGTTCAGATAGCTTACCGCTCTTAAAGATGACCCCTCAACATGATATATTTCATAAATAGCATAACCAGGAACCCAGACCATCGACGCTAACGCAAACATCCAACCAAAGGCCTCGGCCCAATCCGGGTACTTGTAACCATCCAGCCACACGCCTTGCCATTGGATTATTTGTGACATCAAGATAATCTAGATTGTAGATAGGTGTAGAGAAGTTTACAGTAAGGTGTTGGTGCCATAACTGGTGTTGAAAATCAGGAAGGGCCGTACGGGACGAGCCTTCAAACTAACTCTATTTATTATATTGGACATATCTATCAGTTCTAAACTGTTCTCCCTAGAGGTCCAGTAAGGACCGTCTCTTATTGATCCAGTGTTACTACAGGGGGAAACCTAAACAAACTTTATTTATACTGGATAGCTCTATCAGTTCTAAATTGTTCTTCCTAGAGGTCCAGTAAGGATCGTCTCTTATTGATCAAGTGTTACTAGAGGAAGAAACCTAAATTGAACTAACTTTATTTATACTGGATAGCTCTATCAGTTCTAAACTGTTCTCTCTAGAGGTCCGGTAATAGTCATCTCTTATCGATCCAGTGAAAAGTGTGGCGTTTGTTTGAGTCAAACTGGAAGCACTCATCTCACGCAAAAATATAACTCAGCACTTACAAACAACAAGAGGGGGGAGATGAACTTCCAACAAATGACAAAATAACGTGGAGGTCTTCGACCAATCATCGTCTCTATATTTCCCGCCAAACGGTCAGCCCCTGAAGATACGTTGAACTCAATATTAGAACTTGAGATAACTTATTGCTGCACTAAAAGAGGCCATTTTGTACAAAATATATAATGAAATTATTAATGTCCTACCGTAGCCCCATGCTATGACAATTGCTTCGACGAAAGCCAAGAAGATCATTGCTATACCTCCTCCTTGGTAGTCCAATATATTGAGGATATATATCCCGCCCTAAAACATGTTCATGGAAATTTAAATGAGGAAGGAGTCCGCCATAAGTTGTACGCTTGTTGCGGACATGTTTGGGCGTGTTCATACAAGCCCGGTTTGCCAGTATGACAGTATGAAACAACTTACGCCGGTGCATAGAGGTAGGCCAAGGAAAAACAGCGAGTAACAAATGAATGCAGTGAAGCAGGCTTTGTGTTTCTTAATCTTGGCACCCCATTCATCTGAACAGCCTGTGACGATTGATTCAACTGTACCGAACTAGAAATGAAATAAACAACAGTAAAGCTCTGGTCAAACGAGATTGAGAGTTGACGAGAATTGAGAAGCGAGAGTTTGCAACAGTAAAGCTCTGGTCAAACGAGAATGGAGAGTTGACGAGAATTGAGAAGCGAGAGTTTGCACGAGAGTTTGCACGAGAGTTGAGAAGCGAGAGTTTGCATGAGAGTAGATGAGAATTGAGAAGCGAGAGTTTGCATGAGAGTAGATGAGAATTGAGAAGCGAGAGTTTGCATGAGAGTTGATGAGAGTTGAAAAACGAGAGTTTACATGAGAGTTTGCATGAGGAGAGTTGAGAAGCGAGAGTTTGCACGAGAGTTTGCACGAGAGTTGAGAAGCGAGAGTTTGCATGAGAGTTGATAAGAGTTGAAAAGCGAGAGTTTACATGAGAGTTGCATGAGAGTTGAGAAGTGAGAGTTTGCATGAGAGTTAGATGAGAATTGAGAAGCGAGAGTTTGCATGAGAGTTGATGAGAGTTGAAAAGCGAGAGTTTACATGAGAGTTTGCATGAGAGTTGAGAAGTGAGAGTTTGCATGAGAGTAGATGAGGGCTAAACATTATCGCGCGCGTAACAAAAACTGTCATGAACTCTTGAACCAGTTCAAAGTTGATGAGAGTGAGAGTCAGAGAGTGTCATGCGCTCCGGCGGGTGTTATGAAGTAACGGTAGAGTATTTAACATACCTGACTGTCAAGTCCTAGAGTGAACAACATGAGGAAGAAGAGAATGGCCCATAATGGCGAGATTGGAAGTCGTGAGATAGCTTCAGGATAAACATTGAATGCTAAGCCAGGACCTGAAAAACAATGATAGATGCGGCTAAGCTGTCGTGATGCTTGTACTGGTGAGGATGGTGGTAGTGGTGATGGTGGTGATGACATTGATGGTGGTGATGATGATGGTGAAAGTGGTAGTGGTTTTGGTGATGATAGTGGTGATGATGGTGATAGTAGTGATGATGGTGGTGATGATGGTGGTGTTGGTGATGGTGGTGATGATGATGGTGATGGTGGTAAATGAGAGTGGCGGAAAAACTCGTCGATGAGAGCGTTCGTTAGGAATGCTTAATACCTGATGTGGCGACAGTGGCAATATCTGCATTCAACTGATGCGCCATAAAACCAAGTACACTGAACACAGCAAAACCAGCGAAAAAACTCGTCCCGCAGTTGATGCACGCCACAAGAATCGCATCGCTAAATAACATTTGTAAATATGATAAAAACTGAATTGAGGCCAACACCTTGAGTGAAACTGGAAAGATTTGAAGTAACTTACAAGACACAATTATTGTTAAACTTATTGTAGCTGCCATAAACCAGAACAGTCCCCCAGCCAACACCAAGAGAATAAAAAATCTGCGAGGCAGCAGCCACCCATACCTGGATAAAACAAGAATGATGTTATAAATGGATGATTGCAGCTATGGACTAAATTTTGATCTCGGCAAGAAGAACAAAATCCATCACCACAGCTAGAAAGAGCATGTTAAAATTAGTAAAATTGCAAAGTTTGGTTGCGAAATGTTGTAAAATGAAGAAAATATAGCCCTACGAAATTTGCAAATTTTGTATTAATTTGTATTATGCACGGGAATTTGCACCACTTTCGGCCCAAATGTCGTGCATTTTCCCGCGCGTAATACATATTAATACCAAATTAGCAAATTTCGCAGGGGTATATTTTCCGCATTTTACAACATTTCGTGCTCATTTCATGTAATTTTAACATGCTCTTTCTAGCTGTGGTGATGGATTTTTTGTTTCTTACCTAGATCAAAATTTAATCTATAGCTGGAATTGCCTAATATATAGAGTGCTGATAACGGTAACAATTAGATATCTCTACTAGACTACTACCCACCCTTGCATCCAATAATTTGCTCCATTTTGGTTTGAGATAAAA